GAGAATGAGAGGATCAGAGCACATTTACAAGGCATGCAATGGAGAGCGCTGGAATTGGAAAATTTTTGCAGGAAAATGCAAATTCAGATGACAAAGATGATGAAATCAAGATTATCAAACCAAAGCAATGCTAAATCTGTACCTAGACTTTGGTCATGAAATAAATTTGTATCTCAATTTTTACATATATGTGTACTGTGTACATAGTCTGGGACATATTCTTTTCCTTTATTTTCTGCATCATAAAAAGTGGTTTGAGGAAAATGGCTTTTACAGAGAATGAAGTATTGGCTGTATAGTAAAAGTATGAGAAAAACTGTGTTTTTTTCCTGCAGAAACTGATTATTCTCTGAAAAGATGAGTTTAAGCAAAAAATGGTACAGTAAGGTTAAGTCCCTTTTCAATACCATTATCATCTTGGGACAATCCGTGATGTTGGGCGACAAATGGTCTGTAGAAATACTCATCAGAGTCAGAGGGATTTTACTATTCCATCTGGGTCTGTAGAAATACTCATCAGAGTCAGAGGGATTTTACTATTCCATCTGACTCTGGATCATTGCTTCTCATAAACACTGTTGCATTGGGCCCTGAACAGCTCGATACTTTCACCTTGCTGTGGACCATTCTTTGTTTGAGCATCTTCAATGTTGGGTCCATCGATCTTAAGAATTTTAATGTCCTTAAACATAATTTTTTACAAGTATAGTAATACTAAATACTTGAATAAATTACATTTTTATATTCAAACGAAGACATTGTTGAAATATCGACGTTCGATCCTAAGATCACCTAGAGTGGGTGAGTAGGTGAATATCGCGAAATTAAAATTACCAATTAAAAGCAACAAGTCACTTTTTAATTGTTTTAGATGTTTAATCAATCAAGTCAATTTTATCCTATGTCGAATTGCTACAACAGTCAATAAAATAGAAAATAACTTATGATTTGTTGACAGATAAAATCCTTCATAGGATTAGAAATTTCGGGGATCAAGCCAGTAATTTTCACTATGAATAATAAGATCTTACAGTATGATCTAGCTTAGAAAACTCACTAGACTTGTTGATATAATTATTGCAATCTACAAGATCCCGCTAAAACGTGCTTCACTCATAAATGTTCCCGACTATCTGGAATTGTCTATCATTAAAACTAAAAGAGCCATTTGTAACGTTCAAAAAATGTTGTTGACGGTCTTTAGCAATGTTCAGATATATGTTACAAATCTCAATATTTTAGTAGAATAAAAGGATACACCAATATTTTTTGAATGTTGCTAATAACATTTTTGCAATATTTTTTGAATGTTGCGAATAAGATTTCGCAACATTTTTTTAGCATTGCTAATAACATTTTTGCAAAGTTTCTTGAATGTCGCAAATAAAACACCATAAATAGTTCAATGGACAAGTTTGCCTCCATTGTTTCCTTTGAGGCTCGCTGATAGTTACCAACGGATCATGCCGTAAGTAAAGAATAAACATTTTACCAACGAATTTCCCGTTGGTAAAAGTGTGAATCTTTTACTAATGAAATTTCCGTTGGTAAAAGTCTTAACCAATACCAACCGATTTTCCGCTGATAAATGTCTACCATTACAAATGGTAAAAATCAATGTTGTAAATAACCACATGGTAAAAATGTTATTTATTTATTTTTTATTATTGTTATTATTATTATTATTTATTTATTTAATAATTATAATATATAATTTTTTATTTTTAGCCAACTGAATTGAAAGGCTAAAATATTGTTTAACTCCTTATTGGACCACAAATTTATAGAGGGTAACTACAAAGATATTGTTGTAAATTTTCGATGCGGGATAAGTGAATTATTTTTACCAACGGATAATCAGTTTCTCATTACCAACGGAATATCCGTTGCTGAAAGATCAAAATGTTAAACTGTTATATTAGGCACGGAATATCCGTTTGTAAAGAGATATCATTTTTACTAAAGGATAATCCGTTTCTAATTACCAACGGAATATCTGTAAGTAAAAGATCGAAATGTTAAACGGTTATATTAGGCACGAAATATCCTTTGGTAAAGAGATATCATCTTTACGAACGACAAATCCTTTGCTGATTATTGTAGTTAAAAGTGAATTATTTTTACCAACGGATAATCCGTTTCTAATTACCAACGGATGCAATCAGTTGGTAATATTCGGTACATCACCTACAGAATATCCAATACATCCGTTGGTAATATTTGGTACATCACCTACAGAATATCTGTTGGAGGAAGATCCAAATGTTAAATGATTACATTAGGCAGGGAATATCGGTTGATAAAGAGATATCATCTTTACCAACGGAAAATACGTTGCTAATTATCGTAGCTAAAAGTGAATTACTTTTACCAATGGATAATCCGTTTCTAATCACCAACGGATTGCATCCGTTGGTAATTTTCCGTAGGTGAAAAGTTGTTTTTTAGCATGTTTAGTACATTGTAGAATTATTATTTAGGTGGCCAGAAGTTGAAAGATTACCTATTTACTTGACATTAACATCTAAATTAGATATATTCTATGAATTGCTATTTTACTATTATCAATTTGTTCAAACCCAACTCATCTAACTTTTCTACTATCTCCATTTCCTAGTGTTTAAAAAGAAAAAATATCGTAAATCGTTCAATGGACAGGTTCCCCTCCAATTTTCCTAATTTTGATGCTAAGAGACCTTTTTTTGGCCTAGGGTTTGGCATGTTTAGTATATTATAGAATTATTATTTAGGTGGCCAGAAGTTGAAAGATTACCTATTTACTTGACATTAACATCAAAATTAGTTTTTGATATATTCTATGAGTTGCTATTTTATATTTATTATTTTTAAAAATAAAATAAAATCATATTTAAATCATGTTCTCAGATTAACTAGGCGATGCCCATAACAAGTGAACCATTCATATCAATTTCTTTTGAATAAATGAACTTAAGAAATAAATTACTATACTGTTATCAAACTTTTTTGAAAGATTAAGGGATCACATTGGTTTAACGTGCAACAAAGATATCCTTGTTTCAAATTGAAGGGCTTGGTGAATTTGTGGAACCGAGCATGAGTCAAAGATACAAAATCACGATGAAGTTCATATGATCAATTTGTTCAAACCCAACTCATCTAACTTTTCTACTATCTCCATTTCCTAGTGTTTAAAAAGAAAAAAATATTGAAAATCGTTCAATGGTTCTCCTCCATCATGTCCTATATTGACGCTAAGAGTCCAATTTTTGGCCTAGGGTTTGACATGTTTAGTACATTGTAGAATTTTTATTTAGGCGGCCAGATATTAAAAGATTACATATTTACTTGACATTAATGTCAAAATTAGTTTTTAATATTTTCTATGAATTGGTATTTTGATATTTATTAATTTTTAAAATAAAATAAAATCATATTTAAATCATGTTTCCAAATTAACTAGGCGATGCCCATAACAAGTGAACCATTCATATCAATTTCTTTTGAATAAATGAACTTAAGAAATAAATTACTATAATGTTATTAAACTTTTGCGAAAGATTAAGGGATCACATTGGTTTAACGTGCAACAGAGATATACTTGTTTCAAATTGAGGGCCTTGGTGAATTTTGTGGAACTAAGCATGAGTCAACATTTGAAGCCACCACTAATGGTGAGTTTCAAAAAGGCTATGTGCATTATTATGAAGCTGCACAACGATTTGAACATCGTTGTAAATGTGTTGCACACCAATCTTGCCACATGAATTAAATTAAATCTTGCCTTTGAACATATCCTTCACGTGTAGACTAGATTTATTTGTTACTGTGCACATTTCTAATAGCTATTTATAATTTATTTTTACTCTATCCAATCAATATTTATTCTTATATTTCATGAGACCTATAAGTACTATCTGCTTATTCACCATTAATTTTATCTATTCACAATTCAAACCAATGATAAACAACTCCAAAACACATAATAATTTTTTCACAAATAGCTGAACGAGGAGACGTTAACTCATCTCTTTTCTATCACTAATACCATTTTAAACTATTTATATAAATTTTAAGTTATAAGAGAGGAACCATATTAATCATTTGAATATCTTCTTTAACTGTTTAACATATTATGATGAAACTGGGCTCGAAGTCCTGTCGATTAGATAAAAAAAACTCATCGATTTAAAAATCAATTAAATGCGTGACCCGTGAGTTTAATGAAAACCGTTGATCTGTTTTTTGCTTTTCTATTCCCATCATGTTATTTTAGGATTTTAGCAGATGTAAAGATGGATGAAGCTTATTGGTGTAAAAGGGAAAAAAAAAAAAAAAAAAAAGGTTATCGGACAAGTGGAGTTGGTAGCTTACCTTTACTTTAATTGGCTTAAATATATGTATGAACATAAGATTATTTTTGTTGTTAAATTTGCATGTGATCCATCGTTGTCAAAGTTTCTGTTCAGTGAACTTGTAGACTCCTAAATATAATAACACTGAAATGTTTTGGACATGTGATTAATTCAGACAAAAACTACTACTTAGAAAATTTAATATCCTTATTTTCTTTCTTATCATGAATTCATATTTCTTTGTTTTCATCTTGTCATTGTTGAGTGTATTTTATCCTGTTATCTTTTCATATTAATAATTGGTATGAGTTTTATTTTATTTTTATTTTTATTTTTTTTAAGCTAGCATTCGAACACACTGAGGTCATGAATTTGAGTTTCGTTTTAACCTATTTATAAAGATTTCGAGTGTTGAATCATTGAAAAATGAGTTCGATATACGCAAGGAAATAAAAAATAAGTAATTAAATGTAATTTTTCTTTAACATATACTTTTAAATGAGTTGGTCTTATATAATCAAAATGAACATATTCATTTGCACCAAGTATTCGTTATTATTAAACTTTTAGTAGATGTTATAAAGGTTGTAAAAAACAAAGGAAAACGAGGAGGGAAAAAAGAAAAAAGAAAAAAAGCCACCAGGGTGTTAAATTAAAACATTTCTAGCACTATAGGCAGGTACTCTACTATGCATTTGACCTACCTTTGTGGGACAAGTGGAGTTTGATAGCTTTCTTTGTTCTTTCATTGGCTTAAACCTTTGAAAATAGGATAAATTGCATTTTTTCTTTTGATATCCTTGTACGTCATCCATCGCGAACGACAACTTTATAAATAGAAAATGTTTTAAACGTGGAATTTAATTAATTTTCTTCCTATGAAGTTTCTCTGTTCACATAGTAACTACTTTAATAAATTGAATTTTATTTATCCTTTTAGACTTTCTATCATAAATTATATTTTTATTTGCTTCATCATTGTAGAGTATATTTTATCTTCTTATCCTTTTGAGTCATGCCACTTATCCTGAGCCACATGAGCTGGGGATTTCCAAGGGGGACATGTGTCTTCCCTAGAAATTTCGTGCCCTCTTTCAAAACCCTCTTTTTAATGTACTTGGTATAAGTATTCTGTAGTTTAACTTGCTATCGAGCACACTAAGGTCATGTATTTCGAGTTCTGTTTTAACCTACTTACGATGGTTTCGAGTGTTGGAACGTCGAAAAATGAGTTTGACCTACACAAAGAAATAAAATATTGATAAATAAATATATTCTTTTTTTTAATATGTGCTTAAAAAGAAGTTGGTCCTAAATAATCAAAATGAGTAGACTTTTAGTAGATGTTATTAATACGGTGGAAAACAAAGAAAAATCAAAGGTATTAAATTACAAGCTTTCTAGCACGAGGCAGGTACTCTACTGATGCAATTGACCTACCTTGCGGGACAACTGGAATTTGTAGCTTTCTTTGTTCTTTCCTGTGCTTAAACCTTTGAAAATAAGACAAATTGTATTTGTCGTCACCCTTGCATGTCATCCATCGTGAACGAACTGGAGAGCCCAGAACATACTTCCAATTTTAATAACATTAAAATGCTTTGAACGTGTGATTTAATTAGTTTTATTCCTATAAATTTTATATGTTCACATAATAACCATTTTTTTAGAAAATTGAATATAACTTATTTATTTTAGACTTCATTGATTTTTTTTTTTTTAATGTGCTACTCCAACAGACCAATTAGAGATGACAAAAATACCCTTCAAACTCGATACCCGTGGGCACTGTCTGATCTCACTTAATAGGGTAATTGATCCCGCCACGAGACAAGTATGGGGTGGGTACGGGTATTAGGGGCCCCTCCCCTTATATATATATATATATAAAGAATTCAATACTTTAAATGGAAAAA